ATTTGGATTTAATGAAGTCTGTTTTTATTTATATGGATTGTCTGAACAATTTCATAATGTGCTCCAAAAGAGTTAATGTTCTAGATAAGGTTAAAGAAGTTGGATTGAAATTGTTCACTTTAGATAATTTTCCGCATGAATTTGTATAGGAACTATTATTCCACAAATCGCTCATCGTTCGTTTCAGTTGAGGGTCTATCGGAAACAACTTCCCTATCTGTTCAAGGCAGGGATAAAATATGTGTACACTCCGCCTAGACCCACTTGTGGGATTACATTGGATTCTTTGTTGTTGTTGGTTGTAGATTAACTTGGCTAGAATGTAGAAAATGTCATCTGAATAATAGGGAGTTCTTCCTCATCGGAAAACTTAATGGTGAGAACAGATCGGTTTGGGTAATTTTACCCTCTGCACTCCTCTCGAGCTGAAGTAGTTGGGCAGTCCAGCGAGAAACCAATTACCAAAAGCCTTGTACAGCATCCGGTTTGGTTGCAATAGGGGTGGTTCATTTCTGTATGTCTCTGCCTAACAAAGAAGTACGAATCGTATTTTACATTCTATCTAATGGTGTGTTGTTTTTCTATTCACTTCTTGTTTCTCCGAAGAAAGAAAAGATGACTTTAATTTAGTGGACGTAGAACTTAGTAATCTTAATAAAGAAGAAACAAAAATTAGAACTTAAATGTGTTGGTGTTTATTTTGCATAAACATGGCCTGCTGTTAAGAACTTAATTTGGGCATCCAAAGGATTGAGGCTTGTCAGTTTGAAGTTAAAACGCCGTGTGTTACTGATCTTAGTGTAGCACATAGCTACCGATTTCGAGCATGTTGCTAAACACCATACACTTTCTTCTTTGTAGATGATGGTCCGGGATCACTCCGTGATGGATGCCGTAAGAAAGAACCACTATGGATTGTTTTTGAAGTTTCAGGCACCATTCCTCTCACGTCTTACCTACGTGTGTCATCCCATAAAACTATTGATGGTCGTGGACAAAGGATAATACTCACTGGCAAAGGCTTACAGCTGAAGGATTGTGAGCACATAATCGTATGCAATTTGGAGTTTGAAGGTGGCAGAGGTCATGATGTTGACGGCATTCAGATAAAACCAAATTCCAGGCACATTTGGATAGACCGCTGTTCTCTTCGTGATTATGATGATGGGCTAATCGATATTACCAGACAAAGCACAGATATAACTATTTCTAGGTACTGGATGGTTGTTTCTCAGATTCTGTATATGGGTACTTTTATAGCATACTAATGATTCTGATGAATTTCTGCAGATGTTATTTTGCTCAGCATGATAAGACAATGCTTATTGGAGCAGACCCGTCTCATGTTGGTGATAGATGTATCAGAGTGACCATCCACCATTGCTTTTTCGATGGGACGAGGCAGAGGCAACCTCGTGTTAGATTTGGTAAAGTTCATCTGTACAACAATTACACTAGAAATTGGGGTATATATGCTATTTGTGCTAGTGTAGAATCACAGGTAAATTTCTTTTTCCTCGATGGTGTTTGATGCATCATGCATGTTGATAATGTATAACCAAGTATATTGTGTTTGTTACTGTTTATTCCAGATATATTCTCAATGCAACATATATGAAGCTTCACAGAAGAAAAAAGCTTTCGAATACTACACAGAGAAGGTAATGCAATGCCTTTTTAATTTGCACAGCATCACTATATTTGGGTTTTTTTTTCAGATGGTTTTCTTAGGCCCGTTTGGTCATGCGATATGAAATAATGAGATGAAGTTGAAGTTTTGTTTGGACATGTGATTTGAACGTCTTATATTGTATGTTTTCTCATAAACAGAAAACTTATAAGTCGTAAAACTATTAAAATTGTCTCAATTATTATACAATCTTACTAAATAAGCAAAAGTTCATAAAATCCAATTACACACTATCACAAAAATATTCTTGAAGAATATAATATTTATTGATCAAAGTTTAATTCAATAAAAAAAATTAAACATATATAAGTTGTGGTGTACTAGTCTTTAATACAGTCCTCTCACATTGAACTTGCATTTCTCGTTCATATGAATGAGAAGACGAACCAATATTGTTACTTTGAGCCATTTTTTGGTCAATTTGGTTGGTGAATAAATTTGGTTGAAAATAATGAATTTGGTGAATATAATTGGAAAGTAGAAATTGATTTGAAGCAATAATAAATTCTACGTTAGTGAAAATAATCATTATAAGAGATGTAAATGGTTTAGAAAATAATGATATGAATCATAAATTTTATTTACATATGAAATAAATGGTTTATAGCTATAAACATTGGTTGTTTTTACCAAATATATAAACTTATGAGTCAATTTTTTGTATTCAAAAAGTCCCAGATCTGATTTTTTGAAAAATTTGGGATTTCATCTACTGATATGAAATTATGAAATGAAATGAGTGAAATCGCATGTCCAAATACTGGTTTCATCTCATGATTGCATGTCTAGCCTACTTAGTGATTTTGCAACACTAGTTGATACAAGATTCACTTATACTGATACATCGGAAGTAGATTTTTCTTACTATTTTCCTTTCTAATAGTTTTCTAGTTGTTCGATATCTGCCTGTGAGTACTTCAGGAACTTACACTTTATTGTTAGAGCCTGTAGCATGCTCAATGATACTTTAACTTAGCGTCTGGAAAATCTTTATGTCCAAGCCGAGTAAGGTAAGTACACTCGATATTCCAGTTCTAGTCCTTGGAGGAGTTAATTGACTTCTGGGTAGAGAAGGAAGATATTTTATTCGGTAAAGTAACACCCGAGGTCGTGAAAGAATCATCATATAACCCCGGAAGATAGTTTGTTACGAGTTGTACTAACAAAAATAAACTTGTCTGAAACTACCTTATACGTAGCATGGATCGGATTACTAATGTGAGGTGGATCCAAAGAAGGGTGGTTCTAGTTATAATCCTGAAACATCATGTATATATTTCTTCCCACGTGTTCTAGCCTTGGTGGTGTGGATAGATGGAGGTGAGAGCAAGCTGGCCCGGACACCACGGGTATTAAAAAAATTACATGTGTTGGAGTGTTGGGGTTTCTAATGTGTCCAAAATAAAATATTGGTGTTTGTTTCTTACTGTTAATTCTGTTTCTCTTAACAACTTATTTGCCTCTCTATCTTTCACTTGATAGGGGTAAGGCTACCTACGCCACACATCGCCTTCCCTAGACTCCACCACGATTACACTGAGTATGTTGTTGTGTCATTATTACGAAGGGTCTTTATGTATCGTTTTTTTTTTTGGTTATTTTAGGCAGCAGATAAGGAGGAAGCAAGAAGTGGTTTAATCAGATCAGAAGGGGACATGTTTCTGAATGGAGCTCAAGGGAGTTTGTTAACTGGTATTGGTGGAGAGTGTGTTTTTCATCCAAGTGAATTTTACCCTGTCTGGACACTGGAACCAGCCTCAGACTCTCTCAAAGGTATTCTCCACATTTGCACTGGTTGGCAATCTGTTTCCCTTCCACAGGAGGAGTGTGCTCGTCAACTGAAACCCGCACGCTAGTTTCCTCCCGAGACAGATCTAGTGCTCGTTACGGGTTTATCTGAACCTAGTAACTTTGGCTCAAACCTTGTATGTATTAAACAGTTCACTAAATAAGTACAAATAATATTATATCTTGAGATCCCGTATACAAAATAGGTTTTGGATAAATTTCCAATCTCAATCCCGTTCAAATCTTGGATCTACCTCGGGATTTCTTCTACAGACTGGCTCAATGTTCAAATCTTGGATCTACCTCTGTTTTCTTCTACCAACTGGCTCAATGTTCAAATCTTGGATCTACCTGGGTAGATAGAGGAAGGGAGATTTATTGAATGCTTTTTCGGACATTTATCGAGTTAGCAAGTTATTATTTTTGTAAGAATCGCTCTTTGATATAATAAACTTCAAAGTTCAAACCAAGTACTCTCTCTGCTTAATGTATGTTTTCATGTGTATATCTATGAAAAAAATGCAATAAGATTTCACCAAAAAATTTAAATTTATTTGATGAGCAACAAACCCAGAAGGTTACACAGCATTTCTATTTCGTTGAGATATGGCAATTCATAATGATCATAGCTGCAACAGCGACAGTAATTGGTAAAAATTAGAAACACACTTAATCTCATGCCACTGACGCTAAGACGACAAAAAGTACACAGATTTGGTACACAGTAAGCATAGAGATTACTAACAACAAATAAGACATTCAACATAAGAGTCATATTCCCAACACATTGATCATGTATCAAATGTCATCGACGAAACAAAGCAAAACAAAACTTGTATTGCTGATAAGTTCAACAAATAATTTTGATCCAAAGCAAAAATCTCAGCCAAAGTAGATCCTATCCCTACACTTTGATAGCATATTTCCTAATGGGGAAGTACATTTCCTTCTTCTTCTCTCTCTCTGTCTTCAAGGATGACTGCATCGATAGAAAAAAAAACAAGTTATCAAATTGTTGGCTTAGATTTCAAGTCGGATTTACAAACTTCACGCACTATGTTAGAAAAAAATGAATGTAAACATGATGAGAGCATGTAAGGTAGCTAGTCTAAAGTGAGCAACGATGGAATGGTATAGATGAAAGATACCTGGTGCTTAGTCAAACGTTTACGGATTGCTCTGGTTTTCTTGGGGCGAAGATCAAGAGGCAAGTACTTCTTGTTCTTGTAAACTTCCCTAAGAGCTGACTTTTGCTTCTGTGAGATGACAGTCAAAACCTGTGCAATTGACAACCTTACCACCTTGCTGCATCCACAAAATTCAGTAACGTCAATAAAAGTATAATAGATGGTAACAGTAAAACCATCAGTAAACTACTCAATTGAATGCTTCTCATGGTGTTATTTACTGCTCAAATTGGATACACATTCCACAAACCCTAAAAGGAAGAATTGTGTATCTCTAGGATAATCATCAATAGCAAGTTTGACCATAAAACTAGACAATGTTCAACTAGTATGCAAAATGTAAGAAGTTCGGTAAGCAGATATGTCAACAGATTCACAACAACCGGCCAGTAAACTTCTCAAATATTCATATAGCTACAGCCACCATGGCAGTCAAGATGACAGGTACCAAATTTAACCCTCTTCTTGGTACAATGTAGCTTCAATAAACAAAGCCTCAAAGAAACCCATCAGCGGTCTATGTCACAAATTAATATCAGTTCATATTTGTAGTTATGGCTTCCATTTTGCATTTGAAGATATGAACACCTTCTGGAGAAGACTTGACAAACACAGACAGGCTACAGCAGAGAGGGCAGGGTGGGCAGATCTTTGAAACTTTACATCCTAAGGTTCTTATAGAAATGTGAGATAGTAAACAATTACATTGGGTACTTGTCCTTATCTTACTGTAAAACTCCCTTAAGGTACTCTTCTCCTTATGATTTGCAGCCCCACACCCCAACCCCTTCAAAAAGAACAGATACAAAGTAACCTAAAGGTTTCGCAAGGATAATCACCAATAGCAACAATTAAGTATAAACAAGATGTCCTTCATTTAGATTAGCAAAATGTAAGAAGTTCGGTAAGCAGATATGTCAACAGATTTACAACAACCGGCCAGTAAACTCCTCAATTGTATTCCTATAGCTACAGCCGCCATGGCAGTCAAGATGATGGGTATCGTACTTAACCCTCGTCTTGGTACATGTAGCTTCTATCAATAAAGAGACGCTTCCCTCAAAGAAACTCATGTTCAACTTATACTAAACATTAGATAATTAAATATTTGTTTTTATGGTTTGAAACTAGCAGAAGAAGATATTCTGGAGAAAGACTTGAGAACAACAACAATGGTCTACTCAGGTATGGCAATGGGGTGGGCATCTTTGAGACTTCATACTAAGAGGTTCTTTTAGGAATGGTAACATAGTCAACAATCACAACTCCGCCATACTGGATACTTGTCATCAGTTCCAGTAATTCTTACTTAATATACTACTTATCATCTTACTAGCGACCCCACCTTCCCACACCCAAACACCATACAAAAGGAATTCTTAGGTGTGTGTCAAAGGACAATCACAACAGGAACCCTGATTAGAAACAAGAAAACCTTCAGCAAGTTTCACTGATGAAATGTAAGAAGTTCGGTAAGCAGATATGTCAACAGATTTACAACAACCGGCCAGTAAACTTCAGAATTATTTACATGTGGCTACAGCCGCCATGGCAGTCAAGATGAAGGACACCGAACTTAATCCTCCAATTGGTACATGTAGCTCTATAAACAAAGAAATCCTTCAAAGAAACCAATCAACAACCTACGTTTTAGATCAGTCACTATTTTGTTGTTATGGCCTCAGTTTTGCATTATAAGATACAAGCATATATTGGAGAAATATTTTAATTAAAAAAAAACAAACGCTACTGCAGTGATGGGAATAGAGTGGGTGGATATTTCAAACTTCAACATTGAAATTTTAGAAAAATGTATTAACAAAAATTCTAAAAAACAACTAAAATGATGGAAAAAGAGGTACGAAATAGCATTATACAATATATCAAAATTGTTACTAGCAACTAAATGGCACATGGAGCATAGTTAAACTACACACTTTATGCTAAAGCAATACTCCTTACTCCATATATACATAGCCTAAACAAAATCATATTGACCAGCAACAACATACTATAGGAAATACCACAACACAGACCTTACCACCAGCTCAAAGAGATAAAAAGGTTGTTTCCGATTGAAAAAACACAGTTTATAAAGGGAATACAATAATAAAATCATATTAACCAAAAAAATACAATAATCAATACCGAATAGACGAAGTTCACTATAAAACACTAACAAAAGAAAAGAAAAAATCGCTTACATTTTGGATAGCTTGTTAGGAGCACCACCGGTGACCTTTGCAACACGGAGAAGAGCAAGCTCCGCCTTCAGATCCTTCAACTGAGCCAAAAGGTCTGTCTTCGACTTGTTCCTCAACTCATGAACCTTTATTCTCGCTGCATTTCCACCACAACAACATTAATCTCAAACAACAAATACAGATTGAAAAATATCAAAAAAAAAAATACTTTCATAAATACTTCATTACGACGAAGATGAATCTAAAAAGCGAGAAAAAGTGAGTTTTGAGTATACGCACCCATGGCTGCTGCTCCTTTGAGGTTACTGCTCAGACGGCGATGGAGATTAGGGTTTTTTCAAGCTCACTGAGCTGATCCATGGATATATATAGTGTAGTTTTGATTGAGATTTATTCTTTGGGCTGGACTTCCATTCTGGAAATAAAAAGTATAGGCCCATTATGGTTTAGTGATGGCCCATTACTATATGTTGCAAATGGACGGGTTGGCTCGAATTCAGGGTCCGTTTGGCCAATCGATATGGTATCATGATATGGAATCATGAGATGAAATTGAAGTTTTGTTTGGACATGTGATATGGAAATATGTTGCAAATGGACGGGTTGGCTCGAATTTGAGATGGGGTGAGTTAGGGTCCGTTTGGCCAAGCGATATGGTATCATGATATGGAATCATGAGATGAAATTGAAGTTTTGTTTGGATATGCTATATGGAATTTTGGTGTGATATATTTTTTCATAAACATAAAAATCTCATAAATTATAAAACTATTAAAATAGCCCCAATTGTTTATTCAATATCATCAAATAACAAAAACTCATAAAATCGTATAATAAATTATTACAAAATTATTTGTTCTCAAATTAAGTAATTGTTTCATCAATATATTTGGGTAAAAATGAAACACATTTCACTTGCTCTTCAAGATTTTATTACTCAACAATTGTGAAGTGTGAGTTAAAGTGACTATATGTTAGTGAGAATAATAAATTTTAAAAAGTAATGATGTTATTATAAAAAAAATAACATGTGAAATAAATGGATAGTAGATATAAATATGGGGTTGTTTTGACAAAATATAAACTCGAGTATCAATTTTTATATTAAAATAACACAAATCATGATATGGTACTACCATATGATTTCATATCATGGTTTTTGAAGAATATGGTATCACATTTAATGATATGGAATCATGAGATGGAATCAGCGTAAAATCGCATGTCCAAATGCTGATTTCATCTCACGATACTATATCGTGATATGGTATCACATGGCCAAACACCTACTTAATAGAGTGTAAATTAGGTTTAGCAAATTAAAAATCATATTTGTATGATATAACTATGATTTGCATAATTGAGCTTCATAGCAAATTTTATTTTTATTATGGCTATTAATTTGTATATTTTGGATATTTATGCATAAAAATCAATTGTATAGGTATATATTTGGAATCAGTATACAGAAAAGAAACTAACTTAATTTTAAGTTGTATAAGTATATATATTTTCGTGTGGTGATTTTTAATCGCATATGTATATGTGTATGTAAATATATTTTTGTATACCGATGTAAGTTGTAGCTTTATATAAACAGAAATTATAATTTATATAATTTGTGTTTGTATAAAGCGAGAAAGAGAGAAAAAAACAAAAGAGAACTGGTAGGGGAAAATCTATTTATGTATAATTATAAGTGTACATGACGAAAATATATGTATTTGTATCTAAAAATATAGTTTTCTCTCGATTTATACAAACACTGTGTTTGTACAGTTGTGTTGTTAAGTGAGAAGACGAGGGAGAGTGGCAAGCGAGATCAAGAAGAGTCACGAGCGAGATTGTTGAGGAGAGAGACCAATGACAAAGTGTTTGAAACGGATTAGAACTATGGTTATAACATTTAATTTGAATTAATTGTATAAAATAGCAAACTATTAATTCAAATTAAATGCAATAACCATATTTTGATTTAATTGAAATCCCTAGCAAACTATTGAAATTTTGCCTCACTCCCTGGAATTCTCGCTCTCTACTCTCGTTTCTAGTCGACTCATCGTCTCTCTCACTTATATACAAATACAAATGTATAAAATGTGTTTGTGTTTGTATAAAGTGAGAGAAAACTGTATATATAAATCTATTTTTGTTAGTCTCGGATCTCATTCGCCAGTCTCACTCGACTCTCTCACTTTATACTAACACAAATGTATAAATTACGTTTGTGTTTGTTAAAGCGAGAGAAAATTATATATAAAATACATATATTTTCGTCATATATGCTTATAATTATACAAATACATATCTTTCGCTCCCAGTTCTCTTTATCTTGCTCTCTTATATTAGTTATATATATACAATCATCTAACCGATATACATATACAATTGACGCGCTTTTATACAAATGAGAAGCCAGTCGGGGAAATTATACAAATCTAAAGCCCCTGCCGAGTTATACAATCTGTTGCTCCATTGCATATAAATGATCTTTATACTTGCTAAACCTAAAATTTACTCGCTAATATATTTTCTCTTATATATTTGATGTAGTTTTATACGTATAACTTGAGAAAGTAAGAAATACATAGACTCAATTGAATTATGAGTTATTATACACCCCTCTTTGATGCATTTTGTGTAAATTAGAAGACAAAAAGAATCTTTAAGCATCATATTTTGACGTTGTCATTTAAATGGTTTTGGACGAAGGAAATATTTAGTTAGATATCACACATATTTTTTCACAAAATGGAATAACATATATATATATATATATATATATATATAACGTATTTAATTTTGTGGAAAAATATTTGAATTTGGTTTATTAAGATCATAACTTCAGTTTAAAATATCTGAAGTCATGTCTAGCAATAACTTCATACAAAAATATGTTTGAAGTTGGTTGAATAAATCATATGTCTAAATTAATCTCCATAGCTATAGTTACAGTGAAATATATCTGAAGTTAATATTACCTAATCATACTAATTTTATATATGATGTTTAGTTTTCACAAAACCACACATCAAATAAAAATATTTAAATGAGACATATTTTCCAAACATCAATAGTCCAAAAAAAGAAAAAGAAAAAAAAAAGGAAAATCTCGTGTGTTTGGTTGAATATCATTAAAATTCATAACATTTTTTCTTAAAATATGAATTTAATATCAAGTCACATGACATCGTCGTTATATATCTTAATTAATAAGTT